TAAAGTAGTATAATAATGCAGCCAGACAACAGCCTTTATCTAGACACCAAATTGAATAAAGAATTGGTTTACTGTACGTGTTTGAAAACCATGACAGCATAGAAGACGCTTGGTTGTTTTCATTATCTACCTTATCTCTCTCATCTTTTCTTGCAGTAAAAACACAGAATAAATTTCACAATAATCCCTGAATTAACAATAAGAGTTGAGGGCGATCACAGACAGTGATAAGTACTTCATTATTTTTATATTTGGGAGTGCATCTGTAACAGTATCTGTGTGTGTGTGTGTGTGTAAACATGAGTGCACAGCACAGACACACACACACACACACACACACACACACACACACAGGATTTTAGGAAGATGACATGGTGGTTTTAATACGGTTTTTGCTGACCTGACGAGAGATCAGTTTATCAAGTCAATTCAAGTGCTGCGTAAAGTTACTGTATGGACTTGGATGGATTGCTACCTACTAGATGAGTAAACGTAAATGTAAATGTAATGTACCTCCTTTCTACTCTGCCTGCTTGAATGAATATTCTGCGCATGCTTTACAAAGCACGTCCCGGCTAACAGGATTGACTATGTTCCCCTTTACATTATTTAACTCTCTAGCGGGGCAATAAAATTTCAGCAGACTGGGCTGCTCTGTTCTGACTGATAACAGGAAACGTGAGATTCATTTATGGAGTCAGATTTCATTTACTGACTGAAGACACAACATTATGAACCAGCAGGTCATACATTTGAACTGCTCTGACATTGGGTTTCAAAATGTTAAGGGGTTTATGCAGTTACCTGGTAAGCACCAATAATTTGCAGAATCATTACGTGCTATAATGAGCCACTCTCTCATTTTAATCCTGACAGGAACAACAAGAAAGCACACTGTTCTGAAGGCTCATGGGTGTTTTTGATAAGCTGACAGCAAGCCCTCAAGTGGCCACAGTTAAAATTACAGTTCACATGATGCCTTCTGACCAGAGAGTCCTTTTGCCTTCTGACCAGAGAGTCCTTTTTTCATTCATTGTCCTACAAATCATCCACAAGTAAATTCTCATCAATTGTAATTGCAAAATTGTTTTTAGATATAATAAGTGCCCAGTCCAGTGAATTACATACCTAAGATATCAAGGTAAATCCTCATATTATCCACAGTGGCCTAATACAACTTGAGATATCAAAGGGATGGCTTCATTGGCATGAATGGTATGGCAAAATCTCATACAGTTGACAAATATCTCCCAGTATATATGGTCATATTTTCCAAACCTATATCCAATATATTTAAAAAAAAACCAACATTTCTATATAACCTTTGTGTTGTGTTGCCTGTCAGTCAGACAGAGACAGAGAAAGAATCCAATGTGAATGCCGTCAAAAGTATGCCTGTAAAACCTGTTTGGTGTATTCACTGGGGGACTATGTTTCATTGGAATGAACCATACATCTAGTTCAGACATCAGGTGATCGCTCAGCTCAGAAATTATTGAGCTCTGGTGACTTCACCACTCACAGAGCAGTTCACCATATTGATCCATGCACTTGCTTGTTACTATTACACTACAGTAGATATTATTCATTTGTATGTTAGTCTGGACTGTGAGTAGCTGGTGAATCTTTGCTTGGATGTGTATGATATTTTTACAAATAAAGGAGATGCTTTGCCTGTTTACGTGTTGGGGGATATAAATATATGCATGAGCGTATGTCGCAAGTGTCGTGGTGACAAATACATTTCTCAAGGTGTCTCAAGGTGTCTGTCAGTGAATGTGAGCGCACATCTCTTGTCACTCGTCACTAAAACAATCTGAGCATGATATTACGATTCAGGCATGCCAGGAGGAATGCAGATCAATGTTCTGTCAGAAGCTTGACGGGAAAAAAGACAACATAGTAAAACAGATGATGGGAAGCACCTACTGTAGAAGAGGCTGTCAACCATAGCGATAGCGAGACTCACTAAGTGGAAAAAACCAGCGGTACTAAATTTAGCTTATCATCATCTTCACCTGACTACCAGACTTTCTGGTTTTGCCTCCAGACTCAGTCATCCACACAATGTCCTGTCTTGCTAGAACACAGTGTGCCACTGAAGATCCTTAAATCTGTAGCTTGAGCTCCTTTAGAGCTGTAAAGCACACACAAGGAAGCCACAGGGGAAATTAATAAACAAGTAACTATGCTAAGAAACAACAAGTCAAGCCACTAAAGGCTTCATTGTTCACAATACAACGCAAATATTGTAGATGGAACAAACTTGTGTTCAGTCATACTACAAATGGTGCTGAAAATAAAAACCATGTCCTGAGAGGGGCACTAAAGGAAAAATTAAAAGGATTTCTCTCCTTGGAAGCACGAATGCCCTCAACAAATTTCTGCATGTTGGATCATGACGTATATTATGTTTAAAGTTTGGGTTAATTTTTGCATGAATATGGTGCAAGAGGAAATCTCAGGGAATATATAACGTAAAGGGTTTATCCTCCTGTATACATAATCATATAACATATCTAAAAGTATTGTAGTCATTGGTAGTTTAGAATTATAAATAAGAGAATAAGAAACTTTGATTAAATGTTTGTAAGACATGCAACCTGTAAAAACCACCCAATACAGTCATTATTGTTGTATTGAAAAATATTGTGAAAAATACACACACAAGTATACATATACACACAGATATGTAATATATTTTTTAAACAAATTTATTATATATATATATACACACAGTCCTGCATGTGCTGTACAGTAAAAGAATACTTTAAAGTAGGAATGCTTTTATAGAATAGTTGTAATAGATTATATTTATCATTTAACGAAATACAAAGTGATTGAACAGAAGAAAAATCAAAATCACTCAAATCAATATTTTGTGTGACCACCCTTTGCCTTCAAAATAGCATCAATTCTTCTCGGTTCACTTGCACAACGTCAGTTGTATGATTAAACTATTACACCAAACAGGTGCTAATAATCATAAATTCAATATGTAGGTTGAAACACAATCATTAAATGAAACAGCTGTGTGTGAGGAATACAACTAGGTGAGGAAGAGCCAAACTCAGCTAACAAGACGGCTGAAGGCAGTTTACTGTTAAGAGTCATACACCATGGAGGATTAAAGACACATCATGCATACTTCCTTCCCCAATAAGAAGATGTACAACAGTGCCATCAGCTCAGAACTGGCAGTGGGACCCCGGTACACCCATCTACTTGGTCAGAAGTGGCCTTGATGGAAGACTTGCCAAAACACAGGACCTGGGGTGCAGAAAAATGGCAGCAGGTGCTCTGGACTGATGAGTCAAAATTTGAAATATTTGGCTGTAGCAGAAGCAGTTTGTTCACCAAAGGGCTGAAGAACAGTACAAGAATGAGTTTCTGCAGGCAACAGTGAAGTATGGTAGAGGTTCCTTGCAAGACTGGGACTGCATTTCTGCAAATGGGGTCGGGATTTCTTCAGAATTAATGGTCTTCTCAGTTCTGAGAAGTACAGGCAGGTACTTATTTATAACGCAATACCATCATGGAGGCCTCTGATTGGCCCCAAAGATAAAATAAATACTTTATATACTGTATATATTAAGGTTCCCTTAAGTTAGTTTTTCAAAGATTCAGACCAACATATGTACTGAACTGGATATTCTGCGGTTGAAAAACAAACGTCAGTGCTCTCTGGTGGACAAACCCAGTAATGGTGAACCTGTTTCAACAATATTTCAATATTGATTGATTATTGGTATAGCTCTAATTGTCACGTGTTGTCAATGCTTATTATCATTTCTTATTACTGCCAACAGAAGCAATTACCCTCCTGACGCCCCACACTGACATCTTAAAACAACAATTCACCACAAAATGAAAAACCACTAAACACTCTCATCCTTTTCCCAAACTTTTGGAACTACCTTTTGAAGGCTTGTATAAAAATACACAAAAACCTAATTCAAACATATAAACGTATACACGCTGATGCTAACAACTCGCTTGGGACCCTCTCCCACGTTGAAACAATGAGCGTGGAGAAAGGACCCTTGCCTGCTTGTGTACCCAGCCTTTTCCTTCCTGCTAATCAAAATGAAAGCAGAATGCCTCACAGTGTTTCCTACCCTCTCCTATTAAATAAGGGTGACTCACCCCTGCTCACCAACAATACACACCACCCTAGAAAAGGTGTACGGTTGAGGGGTTGCAGTGTTACAGTGTTACAACACAGACATACACACACTTTCATTGCTCTACTGTGCTGCATATAAACACGCAACACAAATGCAGTTGGGTAATGGGCCATCGGGGAGGTTGCCAAAAGGCCAGAGTTGTTGGAAGACGGTCTTAAGAGGGGGAAAACGGTTCCCAGGCCTCTGAGAACAAAACTGTCGTTTTTTTCCAGCATGGTGGATTTAAATGCTCCTTCCCACTCTGCTGTCTCGCTCCACAGTGGCAGGCCGGTCTGCACGGAGACGAATGCCGCAGCTCAGTGAATCAACATGCTCAGTCCAAGTATGTTCACTATATCTGACAAGTAATACTGTAATACATTGTCATTTACCAAACAGTAGTTGGTAAACCACTGACTGCTAACAAAACCGGATCAAAATAAGAATTACAGATGTAAACTGCAGATAGGAGAAACCTTTTCAGATGATTTGCTCTTGTTTTGTGCAGCTGTAGCACTTGTAGAGACAGAGGGTACAGCAACACATCAGCAGAGTGGAAAATAAATGGTCTATTTGGGAGAGCAGACAGAAAATGGATCCTGCTTACTGGTAGAAAACAGATTTTCTAAATGCCAGTTAAACAAGGATAACAGAGCAGCAGGGATGAAACAGGTCAAGGCAATGCTTTATGGTAATAAGAGATGAGTCACGGATGATGTTTGTGAAAGGATGAGCAGAACAAATACACTTTTCTTCACTTATTAAGAATCATTTAACATAAAGTTGTCCTTAATTTTTCAGTGTAAAGCCAAATATGGAGTCTCCAGATCTTACCATAACAGCAGAGCAGACACATCTTTGCGTTTTTACCATTCCGGTTCCAAAACCAGTACTTGCGGCGTCGTTTCATTGTCACTGCAGTGTCTTTTATTTTGAAAAAGAAAATTTAAGGAAATACCAACCCAAGATCTCGTCCTAACAAATATAATGTATATTCAACTAATGCTACTGTTCATCCTCACTGTGTTGTCCAGTCTTTAAGGATCACCTACCCGAGGCAACATGTCTGAGACGGAACCTCCAGTAACCAGCGGCCAGCCAGTCCATGCTGTATCCGAGCCGATGGACAGAACGCAACAAAACCAATGGAGGGAGAAAGTGAGGTGTATGAAAAGATCCAACAACTAGAACTTCACCTTCTACGTGTAAACCGTGGCCTAAAATACACTACTTAGTACTTTCTCCCCTTCCTTCCTCCAACTCCGCCAGCAAACAAAGAGGCACAGGAGACCCCCTGACAGGACGCTATGCTGAGACCTACTGTACTCTACTGCTGTAGACAGACAGCACTGTAAATGAAGATGAGTCATCCAAACACCAACACCTTCACATCTCTCTTTCCTCTTGCAAATGGGATGTCCTCAATTTCGCAAAGGTGAGAGAAAAAAAAATTGGGTTACACAATTGCCTCACATCTTCCTCTCTGTAAAGTTACTTCCTCAAACTGCCTCTTGGCCCCTCGGTGTCCAGCAGGCTAGTGCGGCAGGTCTGAATTCTCCTTTTCTGAGCTCAGACTGAGTTTGTAAGGTAAGAGATAGGACGGTAGCTGTCTGGGAAGGACCTCGCAGGCTAACAATACCAGTCAGGAGGGGGAAATGACACACGCTGCAGTCAGGAAGCCCTGGCTGGCACATTGATAGAAGAACAGGGTGTCCTGGCTGAAACACAGATATTAAGGCTTATATTGACTTAGCATAGTGGGATTCAGACAAGTAAGCACAGGCAGTGCTTCCAGCTTGCCCTGACTCACTGTATCAAACCCAGCTCACAAAGTTTGGAGGTAAACTAAAGACCATGTCCTCAGAGTGGCACTAAAGCATAAACTAAAAGGACTTTCCCCTTAGGGTGCATGAATACTCTCAACAAATTACTGCATATTGCTTTACAAGATTTATTATGTTCAAAGTTTGTGTTGATTTTGGCCTGGTGCCAAACAAAATTTTATGTAAAGATTTATAGAAAATTAAAGATTCCATTAGAAAATAATCTGCCCATGGACGGTGCACACGGACAAACAAATGGTTGACAATAATGGAAGTGTCAACAGACTTTATTCTTGGTTTGTTTTTTCTGGAGAAACTTTCTTACACATTTCTTACACATACGAACGGTCTAAAAGTAGCTCATAGTTAGTTTCCTCTCTCCCTCTCATTGTTCTTCCTGCAGGCATCTGTGAGAAACCCCTGTCGTCCCAGAATCACAGGAATAGTGTGTCTGTGCGCTACAGTCAGACTGACACCGGTTTGCCAATGTTCAGTGTTTTTTTTGTAAATATCATACATTAGTGAGTGAAAGTGAAATAATTAAAAGAGCAAAAGCACAGTAATCTGTTTTCAAATGGCAGGAGCTCTCATTTTCATAGAGGCAAACAAACAAAACTGATAACTTGATTGTTTTCTAATTGATTTGGGAGCAACAGCACAGTATCATGCCAGGATGGTGCGTGTGGATGCTTGCTTTGCTGTAAGGGGGTAGCTACATGACTCAGCGTGTGTCCTCGTCACACACTGCAGCTGCTGGTCGATGGGTGAAACATTTCTGAGCATTTACCTCCACCTACTGGAACACTTGCACAGTGGAGTGCCTCAAACATGATCCTACAGTAAATACTGGTGTTTATGAGACCATGCACGTGCAGCGGCTGAGGAATGTTGCACAAACAAACACACGTATTAGCCATTTCCTGCTGAGTGCAGCCCACACCCTCTGTAATAACTAACTGAGCAAACCAATCTCCACACACAATCACATCTGAGACATCTCTACTTGACGCAGAATAAACTGTGTACTCAAATAAAGAAATTAAGTGATTCTGCATTCCTTAGTGCAATAGGAAACTATGTATTAACAAATATTGATGAATGTTTGAAATTCACATATGATCACAATACTCACTTATGTTTTGTCATAAAGTTCAAATGATTAAGTTCAATACATCGATAACTTGACTTAAAGCCTATTGATAGCCTCAGTCAGAACAAGACTTCCTCCTCACAGTCTCATGTCTGGTTCAATGTGGAAAAGAACAAAGAGAGAACAGAATATTGTGGGAAAATATGGCTAACTAAAGGAAATAAATGAATGTCAGAAAAGCTTTTTAAAACAATGTGTAGAGAAATGTCATTTTTGAAGCACAGTTTAAAACCGAATAAAATACACAAGCTTTAACTATAATTTCAAAGACAACATTCTTAAATAAGACTGAGCTGTTCGAGACACATCCAGAGGCTTGAAACTCTAGGATCAGATTTTCCATTGTCCTTTCACAAGCAAAAAAACAGCCAAGAAGACCAAGTGCATTCAAAATGCTCTCAATGGGCAATGATAAGTTGATGAGTTATACTACTACTGTGTACTGTACATGTTGAAGTTGCTTTACAATCTGAGAGCTCATCCTCAAGACAAAATGCTAAAATTTAAATAATAAGTCAATTTGAAATAGTTTATCAACAATATTAAAATAAAGTTCAATGTATTACGCTGTAAAGACAACTTTCACATATTATCTATCACCATAAAACCCTACACCTACTTACACGGAGCAACATGAGCATTTATTTGGATTCGCGTTTCAAGGCACCTGAAGAATGCAGATCAAATCTGCACTCTCCCTTTAGCTTTGTTTTGGTCTCTACCAACGCCTCAGGGACTCTTTAGATTCTAAATGCTAAATGCTCTGAATGTGTGTTAACTGTGTCTGGTGCTGGGCAGTGTACGGTGTACGGTGGGGTTTATAACAGCTTTTTTTGTTGAAAACAAAATTGCCTGCTGTGTCTGGAATGGAGCTACGAGAAAATTAAAAACAATAAGCTGAAAGACACTTAACAGTCAACTCCAACTGTTAATATTAAAATCATACTGAATATTGATCAGTGCTGCTTTAAAAAAAACAACAAACAAACAAAACAAATATATATATTTAAATCTTAACCTATACTTTTTGTAGTCAATGATATAGAGCACACAAAGCTTATAGAATAGTAAGAACTGAATTTACAAAGGCATTTGCTGTTGGTTGCAGTTTCTGTGCTTCTGGTTGTGGGAACCAGGACAAATATAAATCCTTTATTCTCTCAGCCTGATTTCTATTCTGAGAAGATTCTGCTCATTGGTTATTGACAAGACTGTAACTCTGGTATAACCACAAAGCAAAGGGAAAATGAAATACTTTCCATTTGACCTTTTAAAATCAGAACTAATCACAGATGAAACAATGCCCTCCATAATAATATGTTACAGCGATGCATGGCATATAAAAAGTAATCATCTTTTAGCCATCATGAACTGAGCTGCACAGGGGAACCACTATTGCCTGTCGTGACTTAAAGCCAGTAGAGGACAGCGAGAGGGTTCAGTTCAGGATGAATAGCAATCAGTGCAGCTAAACAATATCAGGAGCAGTAGGCTAGCAGGCCACACAGCATCTGATTCATACAGTCCAACTGCGCCTATCTTGGCAGACAGAAAACAAACAGCTTCATTGTTGGAGTCTGATACAGCTGCCCTCACAGTAGCACCAGCTCAAACCTACATGCCCCCAAGCTGTTTGTGCTATAAACACAAAATAAATTTCACAGGTGTGAGCTATAATACGACAGATACTTGTGGTGTGATATTTATGAAGCAATGTCACTGCAATCATAGAAAGCAGATTGCTTAAACTTACTGCAAACTCGACCTCAGAGACACAGAAACAAACAGACCTCTTTGAAATGTATGATGTTATCTACAGTGTTGATATTCATTTTGCACATTTGCGCAACCCATCTCCGTTACATAAGAGCTGACAGGATGACAATGTATTGCGGCTAACATAAGGAGACTGGGCTGAAAGGACCACAGACTTACAGACTTAATGACTTGCTACTTCCTAACAATTTGTCCAGGTAGGATGAAGGGAACAAAATAGATAATGATAATAAAGCATCTTCTTCAGCATTAATAAGGTGGCCTAAATTCCTCTAAAACTGACCCAGACATATACAGTCCAAATAACATTGTAGATCATTGTGAGTGCAATACTGCCTCTCTATTTAAATCAGTGGTCTTATAAGAAATGCGAGATAGGCCAGCCTCAATAAAACTGCTGGCTCATTAAGGGCTGTATTGAACCAAGTCAAATGGAAGACATGTTACTGTGGGAGGGGAAATAAGCCACGATTCATGTTACGTTCAGTTGAATTTCTACAAAAACAGCCTGCCACATATGTTTACAACAGCTAAGCATAGAGACAGTGGGACCACCATTTAGACTTGTGAGCAAAAACAATGGGATGACAAGAGGAAATGTTTTCTGTGAGGAAGTTAGACGTTGTACATACAGTATATGATCGAAAACACAAATCTAATGAAGCCTCTGAAGCAAACAACACTTCTAACAGTCTTACAACAAGCGGTTATAGGCCAGGATTTAACATTGATCAGATCATTATTCAGTACTGTACATAAATCTCATTCCCTGGCAATACCTTCTTATTATCTATAGGCCAATTAGATATGTGTAAAGCATAAGGCATTCAATATAATGTAGCCTACAGTATAACCCAAACATGCAATACCTGTGGCAGATGATGACTCCAGTTTAACTGACACAGAGTGATTCATTGACGGATAATATCTCTGGGTATTCCATTGCTTACCTCATTACCTGAGACATCTGACTGGGGGCTGACTGCTGACTGACATTGTGCCTTATGAACTGCGGATACCTTGCCTGATCTTAACAGCGGCGCTATCAACCACAGAGCAAAGTTCAAATCGAACTGCAAATACCTTAAAGTATCCTCAGCTGCGTGTTTGTACAAGCACTCCGCAGAGTTGCAAGATAAGGCCATGCGAGCGCCTCCTGTCTGAGCGGCTCATGCCCAGACAGTGCACACTGCAGGTGTGCTGACATGTATATTGAATCCCACTTTTCTGAAAACTAAAACTGCTCAATCGGACAAAGGCCTAGCCAGTCTTTATTTTACAGCCAAACATCAGAGAAAGTATCTTTGCATGTTCCTGAGAGTTGCACCTTGAGCATGTGCCCTTCAGCATATCTTACACAACAGGTTAGGGCTTGCCTACGAAACCTTCATACCCGCTGAGCAGTGGTATGTAAGGCTTTAATGTAATAGGTGTGGTAGGCGTACAGTCCGGCAATTCCATGCGTTCCCAACAAGGCTGACAAAAACATACGATGGGTAGACCTCTAACAGCCGTAAAGTCATAACACCGAGTCAGCAAGCCAGTTAAAGACAGCCTTAATACTCCCTAATAGTTTGTCTCATACGCTTAGATTGACTGGAGAGCGCACGAGGAAGTTTCCATAAGTTCTAACGTTACTATAAAAATATACAAGAAGCAAATAGTCTATGTACGAGGTTCAGCCTAGTTAAGAAGCAGGCATATAAGTAAGATTTACACCAAAATCAGCAAGAAAT